GAATCAACCTAGCAAGAATTAACTCTGAGCAAGAATGTGTTGATGGTGTTCTACATTTGTGTATTTCCTCATATAAACAAGCTGCAGTGGTCTCCAAATCAGTTTCTGCCTTTTCTTTTGAGAAAAATAATTTATGATGGTACATAGTGACCAGTAGTAATTGCTTTCTGGGTCATACAAATCTTGTAGTTCTGGTGTGATTTTTCTCCAGACTTTCCCTTATAGTACTACTAGGGCAGGGTTTTTTTTTCTTTTGATAGCTGGTAAATTCTGACATCCTTGGTTTTCATTACCAACTTATTCCTAGTTCCTTCTAGGATATGAATGAGAAATAAGAGACACTTGAAGTGTTTTCTAATCTAGAGAAGGGGAGAGTGAACCTTTTTTGATGGGATAAAGACAGGATGAGAGTTTCAAATTTTGAGGAAAAATAAGATAGATCCTTGTAACTTTGAAGAGCTTAATATGTGGGGAAAAAGGTCACTTATGGTAGTCATTAAGAATTACTAATTACTGGTTTGGGTTGGGATTCTTAGTCCTAGAGTAGGTGACTAGGAGTTTTTGACACTGCTTTGTCCATTCATCCAACAATAACAAACTTAAGTTCCTCTGCAGTATTCCTACATAAATACTGCTTATTGCTATGTTTCTGAGATGGCTTCATAGCAGGGGTGGCTTGCTTTCTTTAATTAAGTTCTCCTTTCCCCCAGTGTTGGGAAGGTATCACAAGTTATGACATTCATATGTATTTCAGTTTTGCAAGCTTCAAATTCAAGCCATATTCTTTTCCCTAGGATACATTTTAATAATGTATTTTTAAGCCTTTAGGTAAGTAGTGCCTTAATGAACAATTCTCATGATTTGATCATTTTTTTACTTGCTCTAATATCTATGTAATGTTTTAGAATTTGAGAGGAATATGTGGCCTTTGGGACACTGTGTCCAGGGACACTGTACACTGAACTTGAAACAAATACTCAGTTTGAATAAAACACAATTTATAACAAAACCTGTACACTGTATAAGAGGTGGCAGTCATCAGTGGAGATACTTTTTTACAGGAATTTTATGTGTAGAGATTCAAATAATGGAGGAATCCTTGAAGATCTACATTTGAAAACAAAAAAACAACACTTTTTTTTACTCCTGTTCTTTCCTGTGTACCTTCTTGCTGCCAATCAGACATTTCACATCAACTTCGTCCCTCTTTCTGTTTCTGATTCCAAGTAAAATTTAAAAAATTGCTAGCTGTGCACATTTTTTTTTGGATGCAGAGAATTGGACCTCATTTGCAATTTTAATATCTCCTCATTTTGTGAAAAGTGTGGATAACCAAAATTGGCAAATTTAAGTTGTTCTTTAGCCTAGTATGTTGTGTAGTAAGGTTAGAGCCAAACCACAGTAGTTTTTTAATTGTGCTGCTTGGAGCGATCTCTACAATCTTTATAATGTCATTCTCTAACTGCTGTAAGTAACCAGAGTTTTCTTTGAAGGGAGAAGGTCTGGCTGGTTTTTTTTTTTTTTTTTTTTTAACCATTTTTTTTTTTTCCTCCTTTGTTTTCCTCCAGACAGGTAATGGGTTACAATGGCAGTAGAAACTGCCTTCTGGTACTAACGCTTAAAAAGTGCACTTAACCACTTGCTCAGGGCATATGGAGTGAAACATCAGGCACAGTAATTTACAGTCCTGTTTGCCTTCGAGGATAATGCAGAGTAGGGCTGAATAATGAAAGTATTATTTCCTGCATTTTTGTCAATGCGAGGTCCCTACTTAAGCTATACTGGAAAAGGCAATGAAGGTCTAGAAGTGGCTTCATTTCTTGTTTGCTGTTTTGAATGACTGGAAACAACAGCAGCAGGATCATGCATTTGATGCTACATGGTTGAGGACTGGAAGACTTAAACGGGGGGAAAAGAGGTCTGAAAACATTGTGTGATTTTGACCCCAAATGAACGCAGTGACACAGAAACATTGGGTTCATCAGTTCAACATACACTTTTCATTAAAATGGCTTCCACTCAGGGTTTGATTCAAAAAGTCTCTAATTGATATTGATTCTTGTTGCACAATATCGTGTTTAATATATACAGTATTTACACAGTAAGCTAACCACCGGTAAAAAGGCAGAGTCTCACGAGAAATTTCATCTGTCTTCCATTGTCTCTGTTTTTCAAATTAGGCTTTGTTTAGTCCATTAATTTTACATTCTAAAACTAGTTTGTTACGCTAATAATTACATTTTACAAACTTGTGAAAAAAAAAACCTTTAAAGAGTAAAACATTGTGCTTAAATGCACACTGTTTAAGTATAATTACATATATTTCATTGTAGTTTTAAAGTGTAGTCCTGGGTTTGCCTAGGAGAAGTACAATGCTGATATTTGTCTTTCATAATTAGTAGTATTACTGAAATTGGTCTGCTCTGTGAGCTGGTTTTGCTTTATAAAAAGACAATAGTAGGAAAAGGGATATTTCTAATAGGCTGCTGCCCAAACTGTGGTACTCGGTGATCTCTTGTAGAATTCTAATATTTTAACAAGTCTGTAATGAAATATTTTAGAAAAATAAATCTAGCATAACTGAAATCTGAGGTTGCCTATATATTCTTATTTAAAGGTATCTATCTGTACAGCAGGCAACTTGAACTGCTCCAATACTGGAAAATTTAATGTACCACTCAATTACTGTTCTTTAGCCCAATTTAAAATAATAGATTGGGAGTGAGGTCTTAATGCAGTGTAACCTTTGGAACATTAGAAATAACCTCTTTC